TAACGCGTTCAGGATGACCATGAACAAGAGGGAAGTTCCTCTTCGCGTAGCTCGTTGGGCTTTATACTTGCAGGATTTTAACTACAAGATTGAGCATCGTTCCGGTACGAAAATGAAACATGCGGATGCTCTGAGTCGAGTCTCGTGTTTCTTTTTATCAGACTCTATAACCCACCGTTTGAAAGAAGCCCAAACTAAGGATGAATGGACACAAGCAGTTAGAAGTCTTGTCGAAAGGGATACATACCAAGATTTCTACATGGAGAATGACGTTCTTTTCAAAGACCCGAATCGCGAACTAGTTGTTGTACCTTCGTCGATGGAAAATGAAATAATTCAAAAAGCGCACAATCAAGGACATTTCTCAGCCAGAAAGACACAAGAACTTATCGAAAAGTCGTATTTTATCCCCAAGTTAAAAGAAAAGACAGAGCGAAACGTCGAGAGTTGCATCAGATGCATAATTGTAAACGCCAAAGCGGGTAAAAAGGAAGGGTTTCTTACTTCAATTGACAAAGGTGACCGACCCTTCATAACATACCACATTGATCACGTCGGACCAATGGAGACAACGACCAAGCGCTACAATCATATCCTGGTCGTAGTAGATGGGTTTTCGAAGTATGTTTGGCTCTACCCAACTCGTAGCACGGGTGTGGATGAAGTCGTAAGCAGTCTGGAGAAGCAAGCTGTACATTTTGGAAATCCTTGCCGCATAGTGACCGACAGAGGCACTGCTTTTACATCTCAAGCATTCAAGGAGTATTGCGAGTCGAACAATATACAGCATTTGCTCATAGCGACAGGTGTACCGCGCGGAAATGGCCAAGTCGAAAGGATTCACAAGATCGTCGTACCAATGCTTGCAAAGTTGAGTTATGAAAGTCCTTTTGCATGGTATAAGCACGTTGGAAGAGTGCAGCAGATTATAAACAGCACCGAGCCAAGAAGTACCAGGATCACGCCTTTTAAGCTTTTGACAGGAGTTGAAATGCGATTGACCGACTGCAGCGAGCTGAAAGATTTGATGCAGGAGTTTGCAGTAAAAGAGTTGGATGAAGAAAGAGAGAAATATCGCCAAACAGCCAGAGAAAGTATCAAACAGTTGCAGGAAGAGAATAAGAAAGCGTTTGATTTGAAACGGAAACAGGAAAGAGTTTATAAAGTCAATGACCTAGTAGCGATCAAGAGGACCCAGTACGGAGTAGGGTTAAAGCTTAAGGGAAAGTTCTTAGGGCCATACAAAATAGTTGCTGTCAAAGATCATGGGCGATATGAAGTTGAGCGTATAGGGGACACAGAGGGTCCGTTCAAAACATCAACCGTTTCTGAATTCATGAAGCCATGGCCAGGTCCATTCGGGGCGAATGAACAGTCAGGAGGGCCGAATGTGGGATTCGAAATAGGCGGGTTTCCTTCGCGGCGTACTAGAAGCGGGTTAAGCTATCTGGCAACCCATAATTAGTTTCGATATTTAGATAATAACCGATAGTTTTAAGACCTAATAATAAAAGCTAGAAGTAAGAGAGTCGTCGTTTGAGAGAGCTAGTGAGAAGTTGTGAAAAGAAGACGCTGTGTGTGAAAACAAAAGAAAATGAACTTGTGAACCTAATCTAAGCACTTATGTTTAAACCAATCTTGTAAATAAATTATTGTATGTGAATTATTAAACTAAATTCCCCTACATAAATTTAACATTATAATTTATGAAAATAACTCTTGAAATATTATGAATAAGGTCATCTACACTTTAAAGAAATCCCTCTAAAAATACATTTTTTCAGTGCATAAAGCCGTAGAAATTGCTCGCGGGCTGCAAGTAATTGTCTCTGGCTCGTTGCTCTGGATTTGGATTTGGATTTGGATTCGGATCTGGCGGCTTTCTCTGGCAACATCATTAAATGTGTATATAATGGAATTGCTGTGATTTGTTCCAAGCGGAAGATTTATTATCGCCTTTTGCCGAGTCCTGGCTCTGTCGAGTCCTGCCTAGGCAGCTTTCCTCTGCCTATCCATTTGGTTTCCAGGCGAAAAAATCGGCATTATGTTCCGCATGCCTGGTGACAAAGTGCAGCCAGACGATGGCTTTCATTTTCCGCTCCTCACAAATCCGCAACCGCCGACACAATCGGGGTCGTTTACATAAACACTTGGCAAATTTATGGCTCTCTCGGCTGCTGGCATGTGTGTCTGTCAATGGGAAAAGTTTATGCATTTAATTTGTGCGAAATTTGCTTACAACTCAAATTGAATTAACCTGATGACTCGGTGGAATGTGGGTGCGTTGTTCCTCGAACAGAATTCAACCCGGATCCATCAGATATTTTGGTATACTTTGTGCAGAATGTATTATTTGCGTCACCAGTTAATGTCCTTACTCAGTAGTCAGTCAACTCATACCATATGCCAACTCATTTGCATTTAAAGTTTTTCCCCCCTTTCCACAAGTTTTGTGTTATGTTCTGTGCTGTTGAGCATATGCTCGAAACACTATTAGGTCTTCATCAAATTAAAATATGTTCGCCTTGACGTGAATAATGCTCAGAGACGCCATGGTTGAAATTAATTGCCTGCAAAACTATACAAAAGTCATCTGTGTGTATGCTCCTTCAACCCAAAAAGGTGCACAATTTTGCAGTTATCAAATAAATTAAAAGTTGACCAAGGACCCGGACCCGGACCCGGACCCGGGGCAGAAACAAAGCAGGAAGCTGCTGCTGCAAAATCTCTTAAGTCTCAGTTGAGTTGTTCAAACAGCTGGCCAAATGTGTGCAAGTTTGACAGAGATTATATCTGGATTGCTGGACTTAGTTACGTTTGGGACGACGAGGGCTTAGAATTGAAAATTGTGTGACAAAATGAAATACTTGTCTGGGACATGCATAAGTAAAATTGTTTAACTTTGGCATTGACAGCCCAGCTACCATTAAGTAACGAAATGTATATATTTTTCATAATATTGATCAAGTGCATAACAAACTTAATTCCTTAATGGACTTGATAGCATAACCGAAATCAATTTGCAGCTAAAAGAAATTTTCTGGTTTGTTTGTTGTCATGTCAGAGAATTGCATATAATTACACTGGTAATCCCCTAGCATATGGCATTAAGTGCTGTTTACATATCCATTGGCCCGTCGACATTTTTATTGTTTTATCGTTTGAGTACTTTTTTATGACGGACATTTATAATGTCCGCAAATATTCGCAAATGTGGCGAGAAATTTCTATTGAATGAAATTGCAATAGCTTTAAAATGCCATCGATTAAAGTAAAAAAGAAATGTGAGTATTTTTCCGGGAAAATGTTTTTCCATCCTGTGAAGCTTGTGGTATGTCATCGAATTTGATGTACATTCTATGATTTGGCCATCACTCCCCGGTGGCCTGCAGATTGAGTTTGGAAATAATACCTTTTACGTGTCCGGTTTGCTAATTAATGTTTGGGGTAATAAATTGGATTTGCTGTTAACATTTTAGTCAGTATTTTGTCATTAGGCACCCGTGGGGACGCCGATGTCAATTTGCTGTTTGCCGCAAATGTTTTGCCCAAAAGTCAACGCAAATTCGGTTAGTGTCCTTTAAAGGGAAAATCCATGCTTTAACGAGTCGAGTGCGTGAACAAAGTTTTGCCAATTGCCGGACCAACGATGGCTAATGTCCATAAATAGTTCATTGCATTTCCATTAGGCACTTTGTGCCAATCCGGACTGTTCATTGACCTAATGTGTGCAATTCATTATGTGCAATTAGAGTTCAATTCAGAGGCGCTGGCCGGTGGTCAGAGTTCAAGGATCGTCTAGGCCAGCCTCTTGAGGCCATAACACATCATTAATGGGGTTTTCTGCCGGCCAGTCGGACACGGCCGAAGGAAAAGTGTAACAATAATGGGCTCGTTTGTTTTCATTGCACACGTGCCAGAGCCCGGGCTTTGGTTAAATGTGCCCTTAATAGACACAGCATTTGCGGCCATGTTTTTGCTGGCCAAATATTGGGCCAGGTCTCCTGGTCTGTCCGGCCCAGAACCCTCCACCCTCTCAATGGGCCACTTCTGCGGCTCTCGACACTCCACCGATGGCTCAGTTTCGTCATCATGGAAATGGACCTGGACCTGGTTTGCGAAAATGAAATTAAACGCCCCAATGCATATTTAATGCTGCAAAAATGTGCGAAATAATTTTCAGCCTGATTTTCGTATATGCCCAATTATAGGGTATAAATACAGGAACTAACCGATATGCCATTCATCTTATTAAGTATTTTCCTTTAATCATCGGTGGGGAAACTTTAATCATATTAATTATTATCGTTTCGGAAGTGAGGCGATAAATATAAAAAAGTTTCGATATTATATTATTTATATGTTAACAAAACAGTCAATATGATTATTTATATTTGATAAAAAAACGCAATATTTAATATTATATAAAACAGAATAAATATTGAGACAATATTAGTTTACTTATACTTCAATGAGTATGGAAATGATTTCATAAATTTGTTAATTTAGATTTATTTTTTTATTCTACTTGGATTTACCTATTTTTTGTAATGGTTATGGTAATAGTTATTATTGTAATTTATACATTACTCAATACTTTTTCCCCCTAGAGTATATTATATTCTCTATCTCCCATTTGAATATGATTTTTTCCCATATGTTTCCTTTGCCCACATTTTTCTGCATTAATATATGCAATTTTTTTAAACCCCGATTTTCGTTTGTTTTTATTTCCCACACCTTTGCGCACTTCTGATTGTTGATTAAAAAATTAATGAGTGATTTTTGAAATGCCAATCTGAATGGCTGTACAAATAAAATGCGAGTGAGTGTCGCATTTCCATATATCTTTTGATAAATCTCAACGATATTCACAGATATATCCATTATTATTAATTAACACCTGGGGGGCTTAAATGCAATCCTCCAAGGATGTTGGCAGTGACACCTAAGCGAGTTATTTATGAAAGTATTAATTGTTCAGATATGAGAATGCCATTTAAAACAACTCAAGCAAAGTTGTCGGTTGGCACTTATAAATTCCCGTACAGGAAGTGAAACATTTTTGTAATATCGATGTTTCATAATGTTTACCAGGTCCAATAATGAGCAGCAGAAAATTGTGGAATTGAATGAGGAGTCTCGGGCTGAGAAGGCCAAAAAGATTGAAGAATTCCTGAGTCGGACGCAGTCTAAGGCACAAAGCTCCCTCTATGAATTCAATGTTCAGAGATGTCCTAATGATGATGCCGATTTCAGTTTGCATCCCAGCTATAACTTTGTGGTCTAGTCTGTATGAAATGTATAATTATTTACAGAAATAAGACCCATCTGCATTTCCTAGTGACCTAAATTGTGATATCCGATATCGGAAGGCCATGAGGAAGTACAATAAGCAGTTTCAGCGGGAAATGGCACACCTTATTGCCAGTCAACAGAATATACTCGACCAGTACTACCTGAAAAGGTAAGAGTCCCCGAAAAGTTTATAAATGAAATCGCAAAGTTTCCATTGCAATTTTCCCGGCCTTACAGAATCCTTTGCTATAGAACCAGTTGGCCTCCTTTGCATACGAAGCGGGAATTGAATAATTTCGTCACAAAATTCTTTCAACTTGCGCCCAGGGAAAAGAAGCGGGTGGATTATCTCATGGAAACGGATCTGGGCTGCTAAAGTTGATCCGTTTTGCAAAGGCAATTATGCTATTTACACTCATTGCAAAATGGTTTAATTAGCACATTTATTATTGCAATTATACGGATGCTGCGCAACCTCCAGCTAATTAGTTCAAACAAAAAAATATATACCACAAACAATAAATTTAATTTTCGCAATGAATCTGCTTCATTTAATTCGGGTTTCTGTGCTTCAAACTAAAATTAATTTAGCAACAACAAACAAAAAAGTTTTATAGAAATCTGAGCATCTACAATTAAATTCTTCCCCCAATAAAGCTAAATTACTAATTAAACATATGGACTTTGGGTTCGAACTAAAGTCTTTATCGGGTCTCGTTTTTCGCTTTTCACAAAATTGCATTTAAACAAACTGCCGCAATTTGCATATTAAATATTTGATAGGCAGACTCATAAATAAATTCAAACAATAAATGAATTATTTTATTGTTTAACTGTGCAACAATGTGAAAGATTTAATGTTTAAACGTGGCCCAATTGTTGTGTCCTTTTTTTTATAACAGGTTGCCGATGGGAGACAAGTGCTCTACATCTGTGTGTCTGTGTGTGTTTTGCCATGTGTATGCTGACAGGAAGTGCGTCATTTGTCAAAAGCTACTTTATGGCCATTTTTTTTTTTGTTCGCATTGTTGCCCGTTCAGTGGATTCTTGTTTGCGCTGTGTAAACACCTGAAAAAGGTCAACTTAACAAATGTTTATGCAGCGAACAATGGCTGGGAACCATCAGCCAAATTGTGAACTCTTTAACTCAATCTCGCCCCCGGTGTTATTTCTTCTTTAAAATTAATCAATTACCCCTTGAATGTATTGTTTTGTTTGCGCATAGCCCGCAAGAATAAACATTCATGAATAATTGCCCAGCTGAAAGTAATGTGCAAAGGCCTTCAGAACATTCGTACATCATATGCAATCAGAGCTGTGAATGCATTCAGGCTTGGCATTGATTCAGGCATTGGTTGAATTTCCAAGGCATTAGCGTGGAATACTTTAATCGTTGCTAATTCTAGCGGAAGCACTTTAAAGCGCTTTAGCATTTTGTGAAAGCTCCCAACTAAATGAGTTTTAGCCTGACAAAGAATATATATTCCGCCCCAATTCATGCTTTTGCTCACACAGGACTAAAAAAACATAGGATAAAAATTGGAAACTTTGTTTCTTTTTCCACCACTCAGCTCGTTCTGACACTTTGAAACTCCCATAGAAAATGATTCATGCCTGAGTGGACTTTCGGCCCCCACTTCTAATAGCCAACTTCAATTAATACCCAAGTTGCACCAATTTTAAAGTCAACGTTGTGAAGAGGGGCGGAAAAAAACCCGGCACACGGTGGAAAAATCACTGTGAATACCCCGGCATCCGCAGCTCTGAGCTATAAATTATAATTTCCGCATGCCACCGAGTCTCCCTTTGAGTTCCGCCTCGTCCTGCCTCAACCTCTTAATACCACACACACACGGAGTATAACCAATCTGCCTGGCCATCGTCCGGTTGGTCACTCCCTGGTTTTATGATGCTTATGGAAAAAAATTCTTGCCACTGCATGGCTGCAAGGTGTGCGCCAATTTCCGGCACATGTGAGCTACCAGTCTCCTATATATATATATAATTTAAAAAATGTTTGGCCGACACCCATGTCCATGCTTATACATACATATGCTGCCAGAATGGCCAGAGAAAAAATTATAATTAATTGCGCTTGAGAGAAGAGTTACCAAAAAAAGGTGGAAGGCCACAGTGCCAAGTATTTTTTTAATATTACTCATACGCAACGTGGGTAACGTCTGGATGAATGAGATTTCCATCATGCATGATCAGACCATGTGTCCGCATTTAAATATAATTTTTATTGCACATTCTCTTTGGGTATCCTTCAACACACAGAAGCGTATAACCTTTAGTTGAAAACAGATTTATATCACTCGTAGTTAAATGTGCGCTTAATATTACTCATACGCAGTGGGTACCCTTAGTTGAATGGCTTTTTCATCATTTAAGTGCCTTAGCAACCTGTTCTGCCATGTAAAATGTGCATTAGTTAAGACCTATGTTGGCCCTAATTGTATTTGATTTATAATGCTATCCCTTAGGGGAATAGGGGTCTCTGATCTCTAACATTCACATCTTAACACCTATAATATATGTTTTTATTACTCAAACGTAATGGGTGAACCCTTTTGAGGAATAGAACACGCTCGTGGGTGGAGTTTTGGTTGAGTGAACATTCCCGGGGGCTACTCTTTAACCTTTTTGTAATATCTCTAGACTTTAACGCTGCACAGCCAATTTCCCACCGTAAACAGTGGCTTTATTTTCCGACCAACCACCTGCCCACCCATCGCCCAGGAGCACTTGCTGTGTAATGAATGCTGTTTGTTTGTGCAACATATTTAACAACAAGTAGCAATGCTGAGCAATCATTGCTTTGCCAACTCGTTTGTTTTACTTCTGAGGGGATATTTGCACTGCCTCGAGAGAGCTTGACTTTTTGGGAGGGAAAGTATGATTAAGTCTTGGCATCGACTTGAGTACCAAAGACCGTACATCATGCATACAATTGGTGTACACTTTAGTGCATTAAATAGGGATTTATTTCCCCAAGGGGTTAGCTTTCCTAGCCAACAAGTCCTTGAATCTGTTTGTTTGAGTGTTTGATTTCTTATTTTTAGAATTATTTATTATATAAATGTATACAATTCAGAATATAACCTTGCTATTGTTTGAAGTACTCATAAAGCCTTATTTAATGTGCAGTTATTTATGACTCTTAAGCATAACCATAAATATTTACACATTTTATTTCCGTGTTGTGATTGCTTCCACTTGATTGCGTCGCCTTTAATGAATATTATTTAGAAATTACACAGGCAAGAGGAGCAAAGGAAATTCCTTATGACTTCCTTGATTTCGTAGTCCATAACTTCTGACATCAAGATTCTCCATGGCGCACACATAAACCCTCCTCCGACATGGCCACAAAAAGCCGAGGAGTCTCAATGTGTATGTGTGTGTGGCAAGGTCCTTGCGCCGCCGTTGGTCGTAACTTCCGCTCGGAACGCTCACCACTTGAGTTTTGTGTGGCATTGCAAAATGCATTTTATACGCAATAAAAATACACTTACGGGATTTTTTACAGCTCGCTCGCTTTAAGGGGGCGTACCAGAGCACACGCCCCCATCACAACCATATATATATGTATATATATGCCAGCGATTTCATTTCTTTTGGCGCCGTTTTTCTACTATAATATTTCCTACTTACAAAATAAAACTGGAAAAAAGTCAGTTGGTCTGGCAGTGGCTTGTTTGCGTTGTGTTCTTCTTCTGTTGGTTAAGGAAATTTAATGAGCTACTTAATGCCGCTGCGGTGCAGTTTCCCACTGCCAGTGAGTGCGTGTGTGTGCCTTATTTTTTCATCCCACTCACTTTACGATTTTAACAAGTTGGTTCTTAAATAAATTTAAATTATATTGCCGCTCCCTTTACAAGCCGGGCTGGTCATTCCTTAGCCCTGCACTTCCGCTTTTTTGTATTTGTATATTTTTTCTTTTTGTTGCCACGAGTGCTACACAAGTTTATTAATACTTGCCCTGGCAGCCAACACTTAATCATTGCAAGGGCAAAGGGTCCCCTTCTTAAAGTATCGACAAAGAAGTGAAAAAGAAAAAAAAAAAAAAAAACATGGGACGGAGGGAAAAAGGAAAAGCGAATGCCAAAAATAAACACAAATAAATTGCCTCATCATCGCATTTACCTGGCGGCCATATTTTAACCCAAATGATTTGAAACTTTTGAGCCCAGGCAAGGCTTGTGAGTTACCGCAAAATTTTGCTCTCGAGAATGGAAATTTAATCAAACATTTTAGCAACGCCAAGCTGATTCTGGGTAGTTAAAATTTCTTAAATTTTCCCATGTTCCTCCAGCGCACGAGAGCCGAAAATGCTTTTAGAATATTTTCATGCATTCTATTTGAGTTACCCCCTCCGAAAAAATAGCTGAAACTGCAAGTTGCACAGTTTGTTGTACAAAAATATACCAACAAAAAACTACGTTGCAGCCACAAAATGGAATTTTATCAGTTTTAAATTTTAAATTCTTCGCAGAATAGATTATTGTGTATGCCATGAAATGGAATAATAAGTCTCTATTCTGAATTGATTGCTGGCTTGTTGTTAATTTTGAACCACAAGGAGTTCACATTTCAACTTTGTATATACATTCAGACATTGCCTCATGTGACCCCCTTTGATTTCCATTTCAAAATTAATTGTACCATACATTATTTGGGAGCAAATCAACATTATAGAAGCACACACAATCAGCAGACGTAAAAATCAACTGTCCTTTTTGGCATTTCGTATATGTTTGCACAGGCAATTGGCAATGCACAGCCTGCAAAATTCGAAATGCAAATGCTAAGTAAATAATGTTATTGGAAAAACGGCAACTGCAAACGGCAAATGATGTGGCCGATTGAAAGTCGGCGGTAACAATCAGAGGGCAGACAGGCAGGCGCAAATCGCATTATGCCTCGCTCTGGTTCAGTCTCTCTCCAATGGCCATCAGTGCCACCCACTTTGATGCCGCAGTAGTAATCAAAAAGTTCAGCCTTCGCATTCCCCCAGTATCGAACAAATAAAATGGATTTGCAATACATGAACGAGGAAAACCCATTGACCGGTTCCTTAAATTGCAAACAAGTCTACCCATTTTGCCCCATCAAAATATATTCTAAACTGGCAGCGCAGAGATGTTCGGGTCCGTTTTGAAAACACAAGAGGGGTCTGCGAAACGGTCTTTGGCAACATAAATTGCACTAAAATCGGGAATCGTTATGGGACGAAGGACTCTCACTCTGACTCTGACTCTGGCTCTTTGGTATCAGTCTCGCTTTTTTGGCGTTTTGCGACTGCGACAGTTTGGCTATGCATGTTAAATGAAATTATTGCAACATTTTTTTTGCTCTGCCCACATGGCGTATGCGTAACGTTCACTCAATTCATCAATCACCGAATTTGTCCTGTGACTCTGACTCCCCGGTTCCCGTTGCTCTTGTTTATTTTTTTTCTCGCTTACTAAAAAATGGTTTAGATTTATGCGACAGTTGCCGCAGCTGCTGGTTTCCGCTCCTTTTTTTATGGTGCAACAACTGGCTGTTTGTTTAAAAATTCTTTTCGCTTTCATTCGTGGCAACGGCACTACATTTCATTTTGGCCACTTAAGCTTAAATTTTGGTGTTTTCTGTTCATGGGGGCATGGGGGGAGCTCGGTATTTTGCTTGCAAATCGTTGGCATTTAATCCAATTTTGTTTGCTGCCGGCCGAACAGTTGCACTGTGGGTTTAATTGATGATTTTTCAAAGATTTATTTAAATGAAGTGAAATGAAGTGAAATACTTTTTAGTGAAAAAACGTTGTAATTCGTTTTACTGGCTGTTAACTACAATATAGGAAGGTTATAAATTATTTAGGTACATATTATAGGCATGTTTTTTTCAAATAGCTTAGCTTTAGTTACAGCTTCTTCATTAACAAGGCAATTTCTATGAATTTAATATTTATGAATGTTTAACTCGATTGTTAGTTGTATCCCTGATTTTAATGCGTTTCTTTTTCTCTTGCTAATATTAATTGGTCTAAATGACTATTATTTAATGTGGTAATTTTTCTGAGTATGCCAGCATCATAAATATAATTAATATTGAAATTAGTTTGTACTCTAGACACGAAGTTAACAAAAGTTTTAACAAATATATAACATGAAAGAAAACTTAATGATACAGTAGCCCGATTTTCATAAAATTTTATACAAAATTCTTGATCAATATATAATGGCTATGTGTCAAATTTGATTAAAATCGGTGGCTAATATAACATGAAAGAAAACTTAATGATACAGTAGCCCGATTTTCATAAAATTTTATACAAAATTCTTGATCAATATATAATGGCTATGTGTCAAATTTGATTAAAATCGGTGGCAAACTGGAAAAGTTATAATATTTTTCTTACAATTTCCGATCGTTGCTATGGCAGCTATATATGTTTGTGTATGTATGTATGTATATATATATTCCACCGATTTGACATGCTTCTACTTATATACCAGTAAAATTATATAAAAGAATAACTCCATAGTTTCGTTTAAATAGCTTGCTCTTAAATTTGTTCCAAAACAAATCTCGCACACGTGTACATATGATTCCCAACTGGTTCTAACATCCCCGGAACGAAGTGACTGCTGCCGGCCAAGTCGCAGAAATGTGTTGTGTTACAAAAGTTGCAAGTCATTTTTTATGAGTGTTCAAAGTTAGTAAATGATCATACATACTTACTGGTCATAGATACTTACAGGTCATAAGTACTTATTAATCATAGTTAATTAATGTTCAGTGGTACTTACTGCTCATAGTTAATTAGTGATCATAGTTAATTACTAATCACTCTTAATTACTGATCATTGTTCTATAAATCGTCCGATCGTTCCTACAACAGCTATATATATGTATATATGTAGACCACCGATTCTTCATGCTCCGACATATATCTAGTAAAATTATATAGAATAATAACTCCATAGTTTCCTCCAAATACCTTGAGTTTGTTCAAAAACAAATCTCTCAAATCTGTGCATATGATTCCCAATTGGTTCTAACATCCCCGGAACGAAGTGACTGCTGCCGGCCAAGTCTCAGAAATGTGTTGTTACAAAAGTTGCAAGTCATTGTTTATTAGTGTTCAAAGTTAGTAACTGATCATACATACTTACTGGTCGTAGATACTTACTGGTCATAAGTACTTATTAATCATAGTTAATTAATGTTCAGTGGTACCTACTGCTCATATTTAATTAGTGATCATAAGTAATTACTAATCACTCTTAATTACTGATCATTGTTCTATAAATCGTCCGATCGTTCCTATGACAGCTATATATATATGTATATATATATATGTATATATGTACATATATACTAGTAAACATATATACTAGTAAAATTTTATAGAAGAATAACTACATAGTTTCGTTCAAATAGCTCGCTGTTAAATTTGTTCCAAAACAAATTTCGCACACTGTGCATATGATTCTCAAGTGGTTCTAACATCCCCGGAACGAAGTGACTGCTGCCGGCCACGTCTCAGAAATGTGTTGTGTTACAAAAGTTGCAAGTCATTGTTTTCTAAGTGTTCAAAGTTAGTAAATGATCATACATACTTGTTGTAGACACTTACTAATCATAGTTACTTATTGTTCAGAGTTACTTACGAATGTTCATTGATATTTATTGATCATAGTTACTTACTGATCATAGATGTTTACTGACCATAGTTACTTACTGGTCATAGATGTTTACTGCTCACAGTTAATTACTGATCATAGTTACTTTCGGTATTTAATCCTGTTTGGTTACTTAGTAAATAAATTATCTTTTTCTTTGATATTTAAAATTTAACACATACTACTCCACAGTACTCAGAGCCGGATCGTTAGCGCTGTTGGCCATTTTAAATGCTGCGAACACAACTCAATTAAGCCTGTAACTGACGGAGGCCGTCACCCACTTGGCCATTCGCACGGCCGTCGAGTTAGAGTGCGATCCTGAACACACTTCAGGCCAATCGACGGCTGCCGGATGGGCGTGGAATTGAGGTGGAACTGGGTCTGGGCCTGGTCCTGGTCCTGGATTTGGTCTTTGGGTGGAACTTGGGCGGTTTCTATCTGTCTGACTGGCGGTTCGTCGTCTGGCAGGTGAACAAGTCGCTTTTGCCACTCCATTGCAGAGGAGGGAGGACTCCATGGGCCGTGCCAGTGGCAGTGTCTGTGTGCGTGTTAATTACATTTGGCTTGCATTTGGGTAAAAGTTGGCCCCTCAAAATTGAATTACAAGTTTTTCGCTCGCCAGCATTTAGCAAAAGTGTTTTTTGTGTTTTTCGGTTTTGCAGCATTTTAGCCACACATGGCCAGAGAGTTCAGCTGCGCTTTGGGGAATTTATATTTTTATTTCTATTTTGGCAAAAGTTCCCTCAAGTTTCTGGCAAGTGATAACCCAAAAAAGAAAATAAATTAAGGCTACAGTGCCGGTTTGGAGCAGAGGAAATGCTAGATTAATGAATCTTGAACATCTCGATGCCCATGGGATAAGAGGGTATTCGAACTAAGTGCTAACAGAAAATATTTGTGAAAGGCTTTGTTAAGCCTAAGGATATATGTACATCAAGAGTAGTTTCGTAGTAGTACTTAAAGCATTGTACATGGTATATATATACATACCTAACATTGAAATATTTATAATATTGAAATAAATATTAGAAAAAGGCTGTGTAATTAATTTCTACCTTACCTATTATATTTGAAATATTTAAAAACCTAAATTGTTGATATACTCTTAATATTAATATTGAATAATGACTTAACTCATTATTATGTTATATAAAAAAGACCTTTTATGCCCGAATGAAATTATTATTACGTGATTTTATAAAATTTAACTTCTTGATAATTTCAAAATCTTATCTCTTGTGTTATTTGTAGGACCTTTCAAAGCAATATTTTGGTACTCGAATGGATTTTATGTTTTTTCGTAATGCTGGTCAAGAAATCCTAGCCACAAAATGCCGCATCCATCCCATCCCTTTGTCCTTGCTAACTGGTTCCTGCAGGCATCATTAACCTTTCTCCGAGCACACAATTAATGAGCCAGGCAAGCTATTGTCTACTTTGTTTTCCAGCCTGCAATGCAATCAGCCAGCAAACACGAGTGCAAACTTTGGGCTGGAAAATGCGGAAAAGCGGAACGGCGCTGCTTGCATAATAGAAATTCATTGCCAAATTACATAGAAAATCGTTGAGGGCGCTAAGAAGATGCCGCTGGGCAAGTTGGCAGCAGCAAACTCGAAAGTTATTCCACTCGCCTCGCTCTTGGGAACGGGGAATGCCGAACAACAGCTATTTTAATTACCGCAAACTGCGCGCGACTGTAAGCGCATTACGTATACGCAGTGTGCAGCAGCAGCAGCTGATAAAATCGCATTGAATGCAAGTTAATTAAAAGACGAGCTCTCCAGAGCCCCGAAATAACACTCTCTTCTTGGCCTTTAATTAAAACTTCAAGTGAACAAAACCAGCATGGCCTCACGGCTGGATCGTGTTCTGGATCCAATCCATATAGTCGGAAACGCGAGTATAGACCCCAGGCCATCCCTCAAGTCCACATCGATTGCCAAAGGAGACGACGCCCTCCTGAAACCAGGCCTGGTCATAGGCCCGCCTCATCAAAGGTCCACCGGAGTCACCATCACAGCTGTCACGATAGAATTCTCCTCCGACGCACAACTGTGAGTTGATCAGGTTGATTTGCCGAGTGGCGAACTTCCTGGTGCAGGAATCATGATCGTTGACAGGCAGATCCAACCGCTGCTTAATGTTGCTCTTGCGAGCTATGAAATTGATTTATAAGTTAATCACACAAAATTTAAATGGAAAATCGGCATCAAGCTAACCTGTGGTGGTGCGTCCCCAGCCGCTGACAACCAAGATTTCACCCGTATTAATGGCTCGTCTTGTGCTGACCAAGGGTAAACAAACTGGCTGAATGTATTCATTGAGAACCACGGGCTGATCGAGTCGCAACAAGGCAATGTCATGGACACGGTTCCTGTCAGCAGGATCATATTGGGGATGGACAATTTTTTGCTCAATGCCACGTTCAACAATGGGCTGGTTGCAGTCATCATCGATGCAATCGATTTCCTTGCTGGTATCATATTCACCCAAGCGAACTGTGGTGCTATAAATAAATAAATAATTAATTGTTTAATTTTAAATCAACCTTGAAGTAAGCTCTTATACTCACAGACTACCAACTTCTTTTTCAACATCACCAATAACGCAATGGGCAGCGGTCAGGATATAGCGATTATTAATCAGACTGCCACCGCAACTGAGCTCACGACGTCCCCTGCCTTTTTAGGGTAAATAAATTATAATATTATTCAAATAATAAATTCAAATATTATTAAAGTTTAAAAAATACTTACGATCCACATACTCCAGCAGCGCCATCCAGGTGAACTCATCCAGAGCTGTGTCATTGCCATTGTAAACTTTGTTGCTGAAAGAATGTGGTCCACATTTAGGAGGCGAGGGCAAGAGATTCCCCTGACCTTGCTGTCCCTGCTGACCACCACTTCTAGTTGGAGATGTCACAGTTCGCGCTGTGGTTGTATCCAGGACCCTTCGTTCTATCGGGCAGCAGACATGAGGCAGTCGACCATATCCATTGTTGCACTGGGAATCCCTGAGGAACATCCTGTCCTGAGCGGAGACGTAACTCTGCTGGACCACGGCCAGCAGAGAGGGGCAGTCGTATATGGACATACATAATCCTGAATTCTGACGGGGATTTGTACAGCCTGCGAAGGAGGTAAAAAAGTAGAAGTAATCAATATGATATAGTATTATTTGTGAAGCCAGAAAATTTGTCTTAATTGTCTCGATTGGTGAAGCTTATCATTCATAAATATAATATCATGCATAAATATACATTCAAGGTAGAAGAACATTTGCCAAAATTTATATTTTCCTATAATTTAAAGTAATAGGGGTTCTTAAACTGTTGAAATAAGATTTAAATTTGATATTTAACTAATTGGTATATAATTTTCTGTATATAGATTTTGAGTATCACTTTATATCACTTTTATATCAAAATGATATTTATTCTGTATGCAAAATAAGTGAATATTGATTACAGTATTTAATACTTGTCAACCAGTTTAGACTAGTTTAATGGAAGTAAATTCCAATGAAGTCAATCTCGTAAACAGTTTAAGCAGCAAAGACATTCAAATGAACGTGTAACCTTTTAAACACAATTAAAGTACGTTTGATACTTTTCAAAATTGTGTGTAACAAATCAAAGAGTTTGTTTTAAACATTTAATTAAAATTATAAAATCGATCTGATACGTTGCTATATTGATAATATAAATAATAAATAACAACCTCATTGTCAGCGACATTGTGCGATAGGAGGAGGCTTGGGAATGTAATCTCTGTTGGGTGACGATTGGATCCATTAAATTCATTCAGAAGCATTAAAACTCACACGAGTGCACTCAAATAAAGTCATTCACATGGAAAAATTGGTTAATGCCATCCCGTCCATCTCTCAATCACAATTGAATCGCAATACTGCTCATGACGTATTTGGCTAAGAAAATATCTACCGGTGACCGGTCAAACCTAATGAGTCACCACGATGTGAATCACAATACTAACTTCCTTGGGCTCGCACAAGTTGTAGAACGGTGAATGGCAGCAGACAAGTGGTCCAAAAAATCCCAAGTACTTGGCGTGTTGTTGACTTCATCATCTTACGGGATATTTCCCACAGCACGTAATAATAACTCAAAAAAAGTCTATAGCTAATTCAATCACAACGCTCGCCGATTACGCACGACGACCTCGAACCTGAGAACCGGGAGCGGTATCGGTAGCGCGGAGCGTTTTTTTTTTAAACTAAGTTCGACTTCGAGGCGCTTCCACAAACTGATCGCAAAGCTCGCGGAGAAAGACCTTTAAATACTATCGCGAGATGATAAGCCGGTTCCGTGAGATTTGCAAGAGGCCTCAGTTGAAGCTTTTTGTTTAAGCTGACAGAGAGACTTTAATTAATAAAGTGAGCGTTAAAAGGGAGATAATACTAAAAAAGCTTTCGACAATCGGATTTGTAGAGTAGGTTGAAAAAGAGTCGTGAATTACATTAATTTAGCCTAATTCTGGTAAAGTTTGTTTTTTAAAAATTGGTAAAGAACGTTAAAAGTAAATTTAAAAAGGATAGGGAAAATATTTTCTTTAAAATAGTAATTTACTAACCTTTAGATCAGTGCTGACAGAAGTCAAATTACAAATCAGGAGAGATATGTTATAAAAAACAGAGGAAGAAGTCTAAGAGAATTATATTTCAGTAATATAACGAAAAATATAATGTGTATCTAAGCTATCTTTAAAGCCAATGAAACATAATCTTGGGATTCTACAGTTTTTAAAAATTTTAGATCTTAACCTGAAAATTATAAATTAATCAAGTTCCTTATGTACTAAACTATTATTTGTATAATTGTAATTTGTATTATGTTTATATATTTATTATTTCCAGTGAAACAAAAAGACTGCAACATTTCAATTTACTTTTTTTAATAGTTCTTGAAGTTATATTCGTTTTTTTTTTTTTACATATTTACATGCCAGCACAATTTTTATTCACTATTTTTGTAGTTAATGCATTTAATGATTTATGACCTGAATTGTGATAATGTATTTAACGTTGTTATTGTCGCCATGTTCTGAAGTTTTTAAGAACATTTCAAGTAAAATTGATCGACATGATTCTATCATATCTGCGCTGTTCAGCTGGAGATAGCTTGCAGAAGCCCTTTTCAAACATCTTGAGTTCCTTCCTTGTGTGTAATGGTGGCCAAAGTGTTGTATAAGCCATGGTCCTGAAATAAGATCAATTGAGTAATATTAAGTAAACAAAATAAAAGCAAATAAATAAATAAATGATTGCAAATACCTTACAAATTGCCAGGCACTTTCGGCCGTCGGCTGATTATCGATCAGTAACATTATCTCTCGCTTAAATTGTTGGGCATACTCTTTCTTGGAAATGTGATAGCGCTCCAGGCAGCGGATTTGCCTGGAAGAGCACGATTTGTGATGGAAAATATCCCATCATCAGCAAAGTCAGTGAAAGGACTTACAGTGGTATGCGATGCTTGGAGAATGTGGGCTCCAGAACTGGATCCCTGTCGTCATCGAATGTGATCTGATAGATCGGCGTGTATTCCAACTGTGAATCATCCTTAAAATTGGGACTTATATAATCCTCATCCTTCTTGTGGCGTTTTCGCATTTTCGTGAAGGACGTTCGAGGATCGTCGCTGGTACTATAGGCGTTAATTACGTCCGTACCCAAGACGGTCTTCATTCCCATGCTCTGCCTTTTGTTCCCCAACAGTTTTCTTTTGTCCTCAATCATGCTTTTCCGCTCAATGGAGCCCTGGTGGAAGTTGTGGGATACATCACTCATTTTGGTTAAATATTATGGAATCTAAACGTGTTATCTCTGTGGATGAATTTATGTAATTATGTCTACAACTGAATCGAAAATATGTTTCTAATATCCTTGAGTGTTGTATTGACTGACTCTCAACTTTGAAGTGTAACTCAAGGCTAAAGTGTTAACGACAACTGAATCGAAATTAAAGATTCCATGTTATTTTGAAATTTGTAAGCCGAAATGTGAAATCTTTTTGAACGACTTCTGGGTGTTAAAGACTAATTGTAGAAAATTTTGTACATATCTAACAGAAATAGCAAGACTCCATAAATCTTATAACTTGGAACAACACAAAATATCTATCTATCTTTTACTCTATATATAGTTATTATTTATAAGATTACAAATTTCTTTGGAACAAGTACCATTTACTAATCATATATTCCAATTAAAAACATAAAATCCTTTCTTTTTCTTTAAATTTTCATATCATATCTCAAACTTTGATGCCTGCATATTTTCAGTCAAGACTGCTGAAGCGATCAGAGAGAGAGTTTACCATCAAATTTGTATGTTCAGCCGTTGTGACTTTGAATCCTTGCAGATGAACATTTGCATTTCATGCAACTTGCCATAAGTAGTGGGATGATAAAAAAAGAAGAGTGCAGAAAAAACAGGAATTGGAACACGAGCAGGAGTCCAAAGTGGAGCAGAAATCGAGTACAACTTTTGCACAAAGTTGTTTTCCTTTGCCTGTTGGCATCGAGGCGTGCCCATCCCGTGCTATTCCTTTTTCCCGGAATCCCCTTAGCCGCCTTACCTTGCTACACATCCTGTTTAGCTTCAATGAATGCTTCAACGCTCCGTGTAGCCCCCTTTAGATTTCTCTACCATCCCCCCCCACAGGACACGCTGCGCCCCTGAAAGCCGTTTCACTTGGCCCATTCATTCACATTCTTTGTTTTTTGCCCCGGCCTATTCATAATTCCACAGCCGGCTGATGCTGGCACAAATTGAAAAGCAAACACGTGGCTCTGTAGTTGGCCTTATCACTGGCTACATTGGGATTTTGTTGCTCTGAGCCACTGACACTCCGTCATGTTCAGTCCGGGAAAACAGTGGACGGACGGACTGGTCACTTGCTCCGGGGTTCAGTTTCATTTTTAGCCAAAGTCGAACTGGAGGGTTTGGAATTTGAGTTTTTGTGTTGAGCTGCTGTGACACTTTTTTGTTTGTCTTGTTTGCTGTGTGTGTGTGTGTGTGTGTGTTTGCAGGTACACTGAAACATAAAGAAGTAAAATCCAATTCATTAGGAGAGATTTAAGAGAGTTTTCTGGGAAAAACCTTACCTTAACTATGTCTCATAAGTAAGTAGAATAAAATGCTTATATTTGCTATAAAACTATGACTAAATTTCTCTCAAATGAATAATTCCATTTTCCTTTTTTGCTGCGTGTGCCTATGTAGCATCCCATTTTGTTTGTGGGCTTAGGTCAGCACTTTGCCATTTTCATAGCTGCATGCACCAGGGTCCTCATTGTCATCATCCTTGTCTCATCTCCTCACCATCTCCTCACCATCTCGTCCTGCAGTCCCTAGGCATTGTTTAATAATTTTCCTGCTTAGAGCAGGATATTCCAGCCGCACAAAACTTGTTGGTTTGGTTTTATTTTTTCTTGTTTTGTTGTCCTGTAGTCTAGAATTTAACAAAAGCAGCTGAAAGTTTAACTTTAGCTTAACCCTTAATGAGGGCATTATGGCCGAAGGTAGCTCTTAAGCCGATGACGCAGTATCATTGCTAATTTTCTTCGCCAGCGGTATAAGTTTAAGTAAAGTTTAAGGTATTTACTTGTTTCCCCTTTCAGCTGCTGCTCTAGTTTTTGCCATCTGGCTTTAGCTTTGACTTGAACTTTTCCAGCTTTTCCCACTTTTCCCGCTCCGGCAGGCATCTCCAGATGGACAGCAGAGCGGCCATCAAAGGCAGACGCCACTTGAGTTGATTTCCGTTCGGAGCCATCGAGATTGAGTTGAGTTCTGGTCAAGGACCCAACTCACTTGTGTGTCCATTTCAGTGGGACTGTATTTTCCTCCTCGAGTGGCTTGTATATTAATTGAAATTAAAAACACTTTCGAGTGTCCATCAAGTGTCTGCCATTAAAGTTATTACGAATTTATGGCCCTAACAAGGTTATTTTAACAGCCAGAATATGTAAATTAAGCTTGATTATTTATTAGAAAGTTTACGGTTTCATAAACTCGTTAACATATTTTACTCTATTTAATGATGGTTCATGTAACATGTTAACTGGTTAAAATATTTTGCTGTATATAATTATGGTTGATGTAAGTAATTATTTCTGTGAAATCAATTAGACATTTTCTAGGCTGTGCATTAATTTGGAGCTGAACTAACAGTATTAATATCTTGAGCAGGATTCAAGGAAATAATTGAATGGCATACCAAGTGTGTATTATTTAAGGCATATTGAATCCTTATGTCACCTGTTTGGCTTATTTCTAAGTAACTAATGTTATAAATAAATTTCAGAATTTTCTTCTTCATTTTCCTGAAAATAATTCAAAAACAATTTTAAGTTACAAATTTGAAAAGCAAATTACATTCCATGTTCAACTGTCCAAAAGAATTGGGTCCCATTACCCTGATGGAAAAAAATGTCAAAGCTTGAATATTTATTAGTTAATATTCGTGGACAAAGCTATGTTTAAATTAACAAAGAATGCAGGTGAATTTATGCCTCAATTTGTGTGGTTTCTACCTGATGTCGTGCATAAATTCCGCAGAAAACAAGTAAAAAATTTAAATTAGCTGGCACTGTGGTTTTGGAAAATGGAAAAGCACCAACAGAGAAGAGAAGAGTGGAGTGAAAACCCCCTGTAGCAATCCTAAAACACACAAAAGTAGTTGGCTTTTCATTTCCAATATGGGGTAACCTCCCTACTCCCTTACAACACAATGTCTCTTCAATATTAATGAACTGCAAAGAGCTGGAAAGGGAACGGAAAAAACTATATGCAAAAGGTGTACTTTCGTGTCTGTGTTTACTTTGTCTGGCATGCACTCCACGTGAATGTTGGACACATGTTCAATTAGGCAAATTCCCCTTTTCCTTGTGGCATTTTTTACGGCTTTGGTCAGTGCCACATTTTGCCATTTCCCTCTTCATTCCATGCGGCACCTGCTGGACGGGAATGCATGCAATGTAATTCATAAATCGCACCTTGCATCCATACGGCTACTAATTTAATTAGCGCTGGAAAGCGCTGTGAGTTTCACGCATTTTCCAACGCCAGGCCGCAGCGAGGGTTTTCCACGTGCTCAGCATGGTCATTAAATTAATTTTCAATTAGCTGTGCACTCGCCTGTAAGTTGGAATGTGCCGGTGCACAGGGAAATTTATATTTAATCATTTTCCAAAGAGGTAAATTAGAGAAAATTATGTCATGATTAAGATATTAAGTCAACTCATTAATCATCTTTATATATGGATTTCTGACTTCATAACAAAATCATCTATGATTAAAGTATATTAAATGTATTTTCTTGTTAATTAATTTTCTTGCAGTGCTCTTATCTGCCATGTTTCCCATGCTAATCAGCGAACCGTGAGAAAGGAAAACTGTTTGCCATTATTATGTGGCAAGAACTTTGGCGTGGATATATTGGCCCTGGTGTTTTTCTTGGCCAATGTGGCCAAATGTTTAACTTGGCCAAGAGGCAATCAAACTTCAGTTTAGAACTTAAGGGACCTGGGGGGCGACTTATAAAGAGCGTGGAATGCAATTTGATTAGCATTTGGCACAAGAAACAAAACAATTTGCAGTCGGGGCGTGCGCCGCGTGTGTGTGTGTGTGTGTGTGGTGCCAGTTGAGTAATGAAAAGGGCAACTAAAAACCCATTAACCCACATTTTTCCCCCTCTTAAATGGCCAGACGTGTCCCATACAACAGTCTCCCCCACTTTGTCTCCTGACTTTGTGACCGTGTGAGCGATGCAAACAAACAAGCAGCGAACCAACAAGTGCAACAACAATTGCCAGCGGACTTTATGTGCATTTTCCGCACGGGCCCCGCCCCATTTCCCGTCGACCGCCTACCATTTGCCAGCGTAAATCCCCGAGCAGTGCAGAGAGCGGCGACTAGGAAGCAAGTCAACACACTGACTGCCAGCCAACAAACACCGAATGTTGCATGTGTCACCCGCACACAAACACAAACATGGAGGCTTGCACTGAAATAATAATTGTTGTACAAATTGTTTGTCTTGTTTTATGTGTTTTGAATTGTTTATATTCAAATGTGAAAAATTTGTGTTTGCTAAATGTCCTTATAAATTAAAAATGACTATTGTGCTGTGGGGAATTAAGAGCCAGTTGTAATAACTTAAAAAGCTTGCTCAGTTTAATAGATATCAATATATAACTTTATGGTTATGAATGAATAAAATATTTTCATATTAGATAATTATGTTTTATAGCGGTCATAGAAAATATTGCGCAAAAATTAAAATAGCTGCTAAAAACCTTGGGAACTTAAAATATACATTACTTAAAAAGAAGTTAATGATCCAAATATAGAAAAAGTAAAAAAGATATTATAAAACATAAATAGCTAGAAATGTACTAGCTTATATTCAAATTAAAGTAAATCATAAATAATAAACATCTAGAAACTAAAAATATTTGTATAAATAAATAAAATGATTTATTTTTTAACATATACATATATTAACAAATATTAAAGTAGTAAGTAGCTAGAATGTTATTCTATCAAATATATTTCTTTTGTTCACATAAACTATCGACTATTAAACTTAATTAATACGTCTTAGTACTTTTAAACTAACTTAAAATATTAAAATAAATCAAATTTAAGGCAAAAGTTACTGAAGAAAGCTTCATTTCTTAAAAAATTTTCTTAAAATTAAAAATACAAAATGACGGGTTTTTTAATTACATATTTTAAATCAAGATTTCAAACATAAATTATTAATAAACCCTTTAAACACCTGCAGTTAATCTTTCCTTTGGAAAATCTTCAATGTAAGACTTCGTATTCTTTAAGGAACTATTTAAACAATTGTTTTATATTTTCATTAAAATTAAAAGAAAGGCTTTAGTAGTAATTATTTCAGTTTCAAGTCTTAACGGTCTTAACATAACCCTGTTAAGAACCTGACCTAACCTTATATTTTGCCGTGTTGACAAACTCAAAGTCAGCGCGCTTTATTAACGGCTGTTATTCCCAAGCGTCACAAGTGGCACTTGCCGTAAAGCTTCCGTGGTGCGAGTAGAGCGGCCTGCGGCAGCTATCCTGTTTTCGCGGCGCAAGCAATATATTGCCACACCAGTCGCACACTTAAGAGCGGCTGCAAAGGCGGAAATAAAGAGAACGAAAGCTCACCGATTACCCGACTGTCCTTCGGCTTCGGTTCGTGTCGGAAATGCTCGGAAAATGGCGCTCGTATTTCGCAGTCGCCATCAGAAGGGCGGCTCTGGAAGACGCACAAAGGTATGCTACACTTTTGCCCCAACTTGAGGGGAAACTTTTTGGGCGAGTTTTTCACAGCAATGACTCTGAACTCGAGCTCAGAAAATGTATTGACATAGTTTCAGTTAAAAAGAACTGGCTCGAAAGTCATTCAGGTGCAAGAGGCGAACTTTCTACAGTTTCACCAGGAGTTTGCCAGAAGCCAAGGGCCTGTATTTATTTTTATCGCTGTTCATTACTTGGCAGTTGCCATAATTTCAATTTTATAGTTTCGCAAGCATATTAATTTATAGTGCCTCGTCCCTTGTTCCCTTTAAATGCAATTTTTGGGAGGCGAAGGCGAAAATTCTGTTGATTGCTTTTCCCAGTTGATTGTCTGGCCAACTTTTCGGCGCTGAAAAACTAATTGAAAAGCAGCGCGTGGAGCTCCATTGACGCTTAGCTACCAATTTATCATGTATAATGCGACGCACCGGCACAAAATAAATCAAACGATATTTATTTGACCCCATTCTATGGAAATATAATTTAGCGAAATCAAATTAGATGTAAGCCGATTTGCTCGCATAATACTTAGGCATGCCGTTGAAATATTGAAATATTTATGCCGAAATTGAGGTGGTCTTCCTCTGACCCTTGCCAATATTTGTTGGCCATTAACGCAAAATTGAATAGTCGTCAGTGTGTGGAGTTGTTCTGCTTACCCCATTTAATAGTACAATTTTGATGGGAAAACTCATTGGATGTTTTTCTTGGTTTTTTGCCAATTTAACTCTTCTATATTCTACGTGGGCAAAATGAAATATTTTTCCAGTTTTTCAGGTGGGGGCGGAAAACAAAAAAAAAGTTGCCAACACGCAAATGCTGGCAGCCATAAATTTGCCGCTTTTCTGCTAAAAGTGGCCAACAGTTTTGTTTGCCACGTGCAGTCTCGTTTTGTTTGTTGGTTCTCCGACTCGCAGGAATGCATATGGAAAAACTGAGCGATGAAGTTGGGGGAAATGGGAAATTCGTCTGATCCCCCGTCTGACAGCAGCAAGCAGCAATTGCAGCATATTTAGCCGCTTGTTTTTGAAAACTCTATTTAATTTAAGTTCCTGTTTCGCCTGCCTCACGTCTCGGTGCACTTTTGCCTCTCATTTTTCAACTCGACTGCGTGCGGCGTGCGGCGCGTTTTTTATTCGCTCCTTCGCATTTTCCTTCTGGCTTTCCTTTGTGGCTGTCAGGGCTCCACACGAGTTGGCCATTGCCCAGCCGATTTTGCAGCATTTAATTTAAGTTACAGCACAAGCTGCCGAGATTTATAGCCGACCCTTAACAAGTCTCGCTGCCCCTTTTTTGTGTCCCTTTGCTTTTCGGGGCCCTACTCTCCTGCTTTTCCTTTTTTTCTTTAGCCGGAGAAAGCCTGGCAGTGGACACAATGTAATTTTTTTTTTGGGTGTGTGTGTGTGAGCTTCCTGTCCTTCCGAGTGTTATATTTTTTATTGAAAATTACACAGGGAAGAACTTTGGCTGAGAGGTCAGGCTGGACAGGAGACGGGCCATGTTGTGTATTATTAATATTCATTTTGTGTGGGTTACGCATGATTTTTTAATAGCATTCTTATTTATAGATATTGATTTTCTTTTTATCATTAAAAAAGTACGCCAGGTTTTATGGCGTCGCTTCAAATATTTTATTTGAATTTTAAATTTGTTGTTTGTTATGTGTGCAGGAAAGTCTGGTTATTTCATACATTTTTCATTACAAATGTTTGATTACATTTTGCAAACTTTAGTTAAAGTAATGCACGTTTAAACTTTAATAGCCAATTAGTAAGTTTGAGTGCATTTCGTTAGCTTTAATACAGATTTAGAATTTCCAAAAATCAAATGTCTAATTTAATAAAAACCCTTTTGTGAAAATTCATTAAAGTTATTTATTTTTCAGTTGATGAAATACGCTTAAATACAATTAAATTGCCATTCACTTTCACAGTCCTTGAAATTCATTTTAAATTCATGGTAAAATATATTTTATACTAATATTTGAATATTGAATTTAACTGATTTTAATTGACAATTGAAATTTGTCACAATTTTTTGCTCGTTTCAAATGACTTTAAAAATCGCAGAGATATTTTTTTATTTATCTTCATGCAGCTTGGTTTTATGAATAAATTGATATCATCAAACTGAAAACTGAAACTTTGTCGAACTTCGGCCTTGGACACACAGACCTCCCATCGATTCTGCGCCTCTTTTGGGGCGGTGCAGCAATCTTGTGACTGTGTGAGATTCTGACCCATAACCAATCTCAGTACAATAAATTAAACCTAAACAATTCATTCGGCCGAGCATGGTTCGGTTTCTGTTTTAGCTGCGGATTCCATCCAGAGGACATCCTGGTCGACTGGCAGGATATAGAGGGCAGTCTCAGGGGCAATAAGGCAGAAAGCCACTTCTTAGTTTGCTTGCAGCTCAAGCGGAAACCATATAAATGCGGAAATGATAAAAATGCCTGCGAACATGTTACCAAAGCGAATGCGATAAATTGCAATGGCAAGAAGGTCCTCCATGTTAGGACCTCGTTTCTCAGTCCTCCGAGTTCTCCGAATCCAGGGGCTCCTCCTGGCAATGGCTTCTCGCTCCCACATGAACGCTGCAGCCAGACAATAAAATAATAATAAAAATAGAACAAAGCCGGCGAGCAGACGACATCGCCAATGATGAGGTTCCATTCCATTCGGATCGAATTGGGACGGGTTCAATAAATGAATGTGGCCAAGTGGAGGACACTGGGTCCCCACGAAGCTGTTCCAAAACACACAGGACACACGCACACTGTCCCATGCTACACGCAGAGAAAAGATGGTTGCGCGAAAGGGAGCGTCTCTTCGGCTGCCAATTTAATGAAATTGTTTTACACTCAATTGAGTTGCCAACTGAAAAAGAAAACAAAAAGCATTCCAGGCAGCCCGACCAGCACCAGCACCAGCACCAGCGCCAGTGCCATCGTCAGAACTAGACAAACAAACATCTTTTGCCCCCAAAAAAGATTTCTGGTAATTTGCATTGCCTTCCAGCACGCAACGAGACCCACATTTGGCTTCAAGTTAATCTTTTCTAATACAAAATGGCCCAAAAGCTGTCAGCTTTCAGACAAAGTAGCTGACATTAGAGATGCTCTCAGAAAAGCGATACAGATGTGCTTTAAACTGATTTAATATTTACAAAACTTTAAGATAATCGGCTTAGGGAGCTACATTTGCATATTTACGAGAAAAGTTTTCTGGCATTAAAGAGTTGCTATATAGAAATCTATATATAAAGTATAAAGTTCAACTAGAGAAAATGAAAATGATTGGGTTAAAAGATTTTAAAAGACGAAATAAAAATGTATATGGTAAAAGTAAATAGTTTCTTTAAAGGTACTGAATTTTAATTTTTTGATATTTTATATATTTCAGCTACAGTAAACAAGAAATATTATGTTATAAGTCTTTTCCTCTATTTACAAATGAATTCATTGTATAAATTTAAATAAATAAATCAATAGTCATTTCCAACCATATAAATCATCATCAACAGCCGATTCGACCTGGCCATGTTTGGTCAAAATATACATTTTTGAAATTTTTTCGAAATTTGAAAATTTTATAAGGGGTTACATCATTAAAATTGTCATAAAGCGGCAAAAATTTTAAATTCGGTGTGCGTATTTATTAGAGTAATTAAAATTAACACAGTACAGCTTTCCGATTGGAAATTAATGCATTTTTGATGGATGCATTATGATGCATTATGATGGATTTACTCTGCAAGGGTATAGGGTATACATATTTCGTTGTCCCGAAGTTAACTTCCTTTCTTGTTTTTACTTGTACTTTTATTTTCTCTAGTTAAATCTTGCATTAATTACCTTACCTTAAGTATATTATAATAAGTACTGGCTGCTAAGAGTATAAGTAACCCAATGTATAACTTAAAATTTAGTATTACATTTACTTAATTTTATGATCTAAGCACTAATTAGTAAGTAAATTGAATGTAAAATTGATCTACAATCTCCTCAAAATATCTCTAAATACTGTTTAAAATAAGTTCTATAAATATATGCATTCTCTGAAACCGTCCATTCCGTGCTATTTAAATGCCACTGAGTGTACGTTATATATTGCTCACTATTTTTGTATTTACCAGAGAGGAAATCATAGAGGAAAAACCATAAAGAGAGAGGGAAAACAAATGGGAAGAGAGCTGTATATAGTCAGCTGGGGAGAAATAGAGAGATAAGAAGGTGAACGCGATCGTCGACATAGGCATTCCATATACTGCGCTGGTCGCAATAGGTTGCTCTATCAATTAGACTCGGAACAAAGCCAAATTAATGCGAATTGACAACAATGTCGGCATTTGAATTGAAAAACCTGAACGACAGCTTGGAGAAGCATCTGCCAGCTGATGAACTGAAGGAGGTCAAGCGGATTTTGTACGGTGTTGAAGAAGAGTAAGTACCGAACCTAGTGACAATATTGATAAGAGTCTCAACATCATGTGGGGTGCTCGTAAAAAATCTCCAGATAATGCTAAAAATATTTTAATCTTAATCTCTGTTTAAATACTTGTTAAAATATTTCAAAAAATTCAAGTTTTTAGTCTAACAACGTCTCCAAATTTTCCATACATTTATTTCAAGTTGTTTTGTATCAAAATACATTTAAATATAGAACTAATAAAATGTGTATCTACACTTCTACACGTGTGTGAACATCTGGTGATGTGAATGGAACGATCAGTGAAGCAAAACAAAACAGAGAGAAAGATTGGCATATCAATTAATTATAGAAATGTTTAATATTAATTTGTCTTCGAGGTTCTAATGGAAATTATATGAATTCTTTTAATCTCTTGAGAGGTTTTTGGAATATTTAGATAGAGAAGTGTTTGGGTTATGACATTAAGAAGAGAGATAAGCAACCGATTCTATCCGGTTCGTGGGCGATCAGTGTTAGATGTTGTTAAAATATATTTATATTTTTAAACCTTAACTTAGACTAAGACTAATCGTTGGTATAATTCAAAACATTCTATTAGTGAAGTCATATAATGTAAATTGAGACTTTTAGGTGGAAACTTTATATTGTATTCCATTGATAGTGTTTAAGAATTAATAATTTTATTATCCATTTCTTACTAAATTCAAACTTTCTCCCTTAGCCAAACACTGGATCTGCCTGAAAGTGCAATTCAAATTGCCAAGGAAAATGACTTTGAGATCAAGGGCTATCGTTTCAAGGCTCGAGAGGAGCAGACCCGAAAGCCACGTATTGTCCGGGTTGGAGCCATTCAAAACTCCATTGCACTTCCCACCACGGCACCCATTGAACAGCAACGTGAAGGGATTTGGAACAAGGTCAAGAATATTATCAAGGCAGCGGCAGCTGCTGGCTGCAATATTGTTTGCACCCAAGAGGCTTGGAGTAAGTAAATCACTTGGATTTATAGTAGATTAATTAATAAGATTGTTAATTAAATTTTCGCAGCTATGCCCTTTGCCTTCTGCACTCGTGAGAAGTTCCCCTGGTGTGAGTTTGCCGAGGAGGCCGAGAATGGACCGACAACCAAGATGCTCTCAGGTTTGGCCAAGGCCTACAATATGGTGATCATTCACTCGATCCTGGAGCGTGATATTGAGCACGGGGAGACCATCTGGAACACAGCCGTGGTCATCTCGAATAGTGGTCGGTATATGGGCAAGCATCGCAAGAACCATATTCCCCGTGTGGGTGACTTTAACGAATCCACGTACTACTACGAGGGCAATACCGGTCATCCGGTCTTTGAAACGGAGTTCGGCAAGCTGGCTATCAATATCTGCTATGGACGTCATCATCCACAGAATTGGATGATGTTTGGATTGAATGGAGCGGAGATTGTCTTCAATCCTTCGGCCACAATTGGTCGTCTATCGGAACCTCTTTGGAGCATTGAGGCCAGAAATGCAGCCATTGCCAATAGCTACTTCACCGTACCGATCAATCGAGTGGGAACAGAGGAGTTCCCCAATGAATACACCTCTGGCGATGGCAATAAGGCTCATAAACAGTTTGGACCCTTCTATGGTTCCTCATATGTTGCTGCTCCTGATGGTTCAAGGACTCCGGTAAGTCCAACAATGTGAAATCTTCTTTACTATATTAGGATCCATTCCATAAGTATTCCAAAAGCAAAGATCTAGCAAGGTCAAAGTAAACTATAATGGGATAAATATAGAACATTGTAATTAATGTATTTATATATGAATTTCCTGGACTTTGTTTATAGAACATTTTATTAGAGCATTTTATAATGGCTATAAGTATATATTTTGTATACAAGGCATGCTTTTTGAATACATTTATGGATACAAATAGCTTTTAAAGTAATTATAATGTATGGAATAATTTTTATAATACTTTTAATCTTTTATTTTCAGAGCTTATCTCGAGATAGTGATGGCCTTCTGGTGGTGGAACTCGATCTTAACCTGTGTCGCCAGGTTAAGGACTTCTGGGGCTTCCGTATGACACAGAGGATACCACTTTATGCTGAGTCCTTCCAAAAGGCTTCTCAGCACGATTTTAAGCCGCAGATCATCAGAGAAACATAAACAATAAGTGTAAAGGCAGGAAAGTGAGGTCTTATTGATATGTTAGATAGTTTCTGCAATTTGCATGTGAAAATAATAATAAAGATAAAGATTTCCTAGAAATTGATAGCCGATTTGAAATAATTTTAATCAAGAAATTAATATAAATTTATCGTAATTTAAATACTAACTTCATTGGATGGATAACGTGTGTCTTGTTTAATGTCTAATATACTCCTTGTATGCAGATTATAAAGTCCCATTGCGTTTCTTGTGAGGAGTTTCCTCGAATCTCATTATTTTCGGCTTACATTAAGAGTACCCAGTCTGACTTTTTGATTTGCTCAAACTTCCAGTCAAATCTTCTTATTAAGAGCCACATCCTTGAATTCGCAGAGCATCTCTATCGGGACCCATTTTTCCCCCCAATGAACGCTTTAAACATTCCCTCTCTCTTCATACAAAAACGCTGCAATCTAGCATTGAGCTAAGCTTTGACTTTTACGATTATGTTCCGGCTGAATGGTGAGGGGATGGAGGAGCACAGGATGTGGGTCCCTGGAGGAGTGTGGGATATAATCTGTTTCTATTACGTTTGCTTATCTGCATGCGACTCACATGTGCGTTTCTTTTCCCGACTCCTAATGCAGTAATAATCGTTTGTGCGTTGCCGGAATGACTTGGCTGACCTTGCCGGAGCGTTTGGCAGTAATTGGTTAGATTTCTCGGAATTGGTTTTCCTGCTCTCGCCCTGACCTTGTGACGCAAAAATGGAGTTATCAAGCGAAAATTGCTTGTCGGGGAAAGAGCAACACAAATGGAAATTATAAACTTTTGTGCACCAAACAGAGCAAAAGAGATGGAAATATGCAAATTGAATTTCGGGAAGCAACACAACAGTCAAAAAAGATACAAAGAGACAAATGTGCGAAAGTCGTTTCCTTCAAAACAATTTTGAACAAAATGATAGCACCAAGAAAATGATATATTTTTCTGCATAATATCTATCTATTTATTAGTATTTTTATCATCATAAAAAGGTAAGAAATGTTGAAACAGATTAGTTATATTTTCCTGTCAATGTTATTGCCATTTTCTAGATTTTTTCAGCAGAATATCTATCTATTTATTTGTATTTTCATCTGCTTAAAGAAGTAAAAAATGTTGAAACGGATTATCAATATTACTAACATATTTTAGATTTACAAAGGTCTTATGGTAAACTGTTTATGCAAAGTTCCTACTGTAACTAATATCAATAAGTTGGCAAAATCATTATGACAAAATCAGGCACTTTACTATATATAATTGAACTTTGAATGTTTTTAAGTAAGTTCACTAAAAGGTTTATTTATTAAGTATATTCAGTGATATGACAATGCCTAGATTAACCTCTTAAATTAATTCTCATTTAACCCCTCAGTTAAAATTCCTAAGTAATATTAAAACCAGAAACTTGTAATATATACCATACAATTCCATTTGCGGTGTAACATTTGCTACTATTATTTCAACCACAATTGTGCGATAAGAACCGGGCCTGGAATGTGGGATTTTGTGTGTGTGTCTATTTGACAAAGGTCACCCGAAAATAAATCAAATATTTACCCAGAGCTACATTCGTTTATTCAAATTGAAAAGTCACTTTGGCCCACCCACTAGGGCGGGCCAAGATTCAAGGCCTCGATTGCATTACCCATTCGACATGTTGCTAATAAATATGTTTTCCGGGGAAAAGCCAAATAAAATCCAAAGTGACAGAGACCTCTCCAAACGAGCCTTCTTGGGACATCAGGGAATTGCCAATAAAATGTGTGGGAGCTGCTCTCTCTCTCTGTCTCTCGTTTATAGCCGAAGGATATTTTCGACCAGACGACCATCATATATATTTTATTCAGTGGCTGCGTTGATTGATTAAGCCCAAGATGAATTCCCAGCCATCGGCACGTTCAAGGTTTGCCAGGATAATCCTCTACATATCGGATAATAATTTCCCAGCCAGCCTCTGGCAATTACACTAATCATTTTCCACTCCCCCTCCTCGCTCCTTGGGGGGACAGCTGGCAATTGTGACATCTCAGATATCAGAGCGATTTCAATTAAAGTCCAACCTTTTAATTAAGAAGCTAAAGTGGCTATAAACAGGGCGAGAGAGAAGCCAGCTGGCTGGTTGGATGGTTAGCTTGCCGGCCAGGCCAAGTGGGCGAACTCGATTATGAGCTCATATTTAATTAAACATAATATTTAGAGCTAAGCAGCTCCCGGCGAAGACGCTTAAGTGCTCGTTAAGTGTGTGCGATATATATATGTATATGTCCTGTGTGCGGCTGTTGTCAGGAAGCTGGGAGCTCAGAGAGTTCAAGTCCCAGGAATCCCAGTGTAATCAGGATGATGCCGGCAGGATGCGTGTGTGTGCATTTTGCGGCAGGCTGGCTGGCTGATAAAAAAAAAAAATGCCAAAGACGTGCATCAATCTGAATGCATAATAATGGTGCCACTGTGGCAATCAGTTACTCCCAAGGTGGCATTAACCACCAGCCAAATGCATATTGAACAGGATGTCGACTCCACATGGTGAAAAAATACTCATCCTTTAAGGCCAGGGATAGGCACTATAAGTGTGAATAGATTGATTTAAGTAACTCTGCTTGGGTGGATTAGTGTAAGAGTTTTATATCAATAATATACAGGGATACCTATTGAAAGTTATTAGTTATGGGTTAATGTATTGGGATAAGGGTTTAAGGGTTACATTTTCCTAGTAGGTATTTTTCATAGTTTTCTATACTACTTTTATATTATTTTCTTTATTATTTTCTATAAATTTAGATTGCTTCAGTTCAGAATTGTTGTCCATCCCTGTTGAAATAAGCACCAGCCGCCGCACACGATATGAATGGGAAATCTTAAGCCGCGTACGTGGGCACAACAGCGACGAGAAATGAGAAAGGAAAAAGATGCTGGAAAGGAGCAGAATCACCAGGAGCAGCACCCGCACCGGCAGTAGAAGCTGAAGCTGGAGAGGAAAATTGAAAAGGAAATGCGATGCCGGGCGGCATTGTTGTTGCCTGGATGGAAATGAAAAGGGGTTATGGATGGTGGTGCCTCCGACTGTGCCGCTCATACCCGCAGCCTTTCCATTAAACGGGATTATTTATTTTATTTCGTTATGCGCGGCAAACAGCTTGTGTAAAGGATTTAAGCGTCTGCTGAATATGGCAAAGCGGCACACACAAGGCCGATCCTTATTCCCAATCCCCAATGCCAAGAGACCCAAAACCGAGCCCAAGGCTCTCCTCCCTGCTTACACCATAACCAATGCCAACTTCGCCTTGTAATGAAATACACGAAAACTTAAAACCAACAAACCAACGGAGAGGACAACAAAGAGCCTCCTTCATGATATTAAATTCCAGCCGCACTTGCACTTGTTAGAGCCTGTAAGATTATAATTCCGCCACAGTGGGTACAAAAAAAAGCAAAAGGATGCTCACAGATAGCTGGCAATGAATGGAGGGGCGCCCAGCGAGGGCACGGAGGTGTCCTGTAGCGCCAGGACAATGCAGATAGGCGTTTGGGATAATAAAATATTATGCAACTGGGACTGTAGATGCGAGATGGAGACGGCGCATGAAGGCCAGGCCTGCTGGCAGGAAAAAGGTGCCAAAGCGGAAATGGAAAACTTGAATGCAAAGTGGGAAATGGTTATGTTGGGTAGGCTCCTTTATAGTGCCACATAAAAGTCAATTCCCCGAAGCGAGGTTCAAAGTCTGACCTAATAAGTGTAACTTGATTATTGGAAAAATTCAAGCAAGAATGAATTTAGTTGAATTGGGTGATGCTTTAATATGGATTGTAAATATTTCAGTAACTTTAAAATATTAACTACTAGTTCTGCCTGGAATATTTCATGACCTACTTCCCAAAGCTTACGACTGATAATTCCTTAATTGCAAAAGGAAGTACGTAAAGGAAAAGTATTAATTAAAATGCGTATTTCGGGACTCGCTGAGCGCACTATAATTGCACTTTCTTTCGTATCTGTGTGGCCTCATTACAAAGGCGGTTAATGGACCGCAATCCAGGCAGAAAATTAAGTGAAATACGCAAGATGTTCTGTGTTTATGACCATCTTCCCCGTTGGGGCATTATAATTAATACCTGCTCGAATTGGCAGGAAAAATCGAGAGCTGGACGGGGTGAAAATGCTCGCAATTGTAATGATAATGTTAAGCGAAGCGTTGAAGGCCATTAAACTTTTCGCACTGCCTTCGTTCAGTGCTTCCCGAATTAAAGAATAAAATATTTTAAAAATTTTGTGCCAACGCATCCATCCATCCAGCTTCTTCAGTCTGCCATTCCCTTTGGCTGATTTTCCTCTGTTTTTTTCCCCCTGCAGTTTTCCCCCCATTTTCTTCTTTTTTATTATTCTTATTACTTGCCTTTATTGTTATGAGCGGAGAGACAAAGGAACTGGAACTGAAAACCGAGACCAAAACTGTAACTGGTAATGGTAAGTGTAACTGAACTGGCCGGCAATGAGTAAGTGAGCAAGTGGGTGGACCAGGTGGCCGGGGGCTGATAAGGCGTCTGAAAGACTGGGCGGCAATGTGGCATCGAGGCAAGGGCGTGGCTGCTGTGGTTCTGCTTGGCTGCAGATCCTGTGGCTACCTGTGAAGTGTGTGCCACACTCGACTTCTCACCTGCTTACCACAGCAATGGCAATAACAGTACGAGCAATGAGGAAAAATCGAGGAGGATTCTGAAGCAGCTTCTGGAGGGGAATGAGCAGGAATTGCGGTCATTGGTCAGACCTGCTTGGACATCCTGGAAAGGAGCTTGATTTTTACGCGTGTGTAAACAGTTATTATTGTGTGGCAGTAAATGTTGATATGACCCTTCTAAGGGTCTTTAAATGTGGCCAAGGGAGTGCGAATTCATTGAAATCATATTTGTTTTTATGAATATCAAATATGTTTCTTGCTTCTGGGAGCATAAGTAAGAGTAATTTCCGGTAGAAAATAGTGGGAACCTTGAATGATATAAGAGAAATAGAATTTCGTGTTTTGCTAATATAAGACACTAATTTTTCCATTAAACCATTAAGCCATTAAACCATTCAAAGCCATTAGC